GCTCAGACGCCTCCTTCAACACAAAAGACAGAGCCCCACCTTCCAAAACCTGCCCTCCAGTCCTGCACTCGCATCCCCTGGCCCCAGGAAGCACTGGGGGAAAAGGAAGCAGGCAGGAGGCCATGCCTCAGCTTTCACAGGGAGACAGTATGCCAGGTGGAGTGGGCAGACAGGTGTGGAGCACGTGGGCACAGCTTTTGAAACAAAGAGGACTGAGAAGAGGAGAAGAGATCCTCTGTTGTAGCCCACCTCCCCTGGTAGAACACGCGGGCTGTCTGCCCAGTACCCCAGCTTGGGGCAAGGAGAAAACAGGCAGGCAGCTCCAGCAGTGATGACCCAGGCGACAAAGCACTCAGCATGAGGCCACCAGAAATGCCTGCTCGCAGACATGCAGGCCCTGTGGAAAAGATCCAGCCCTCTAAATGTCCCCCACCTCATTCCCTTACACCTCCGAGGCCTGGTGGACCATGGGCACATCTTGGGGAGTGGAGAGTATAGACAGAGGAAGCTATCCCAGCTACCTGGGGTCCTCACAACAGTCCTCCAGACTAACACCTCATTTGGCAGGTGACTTCCCAGATGCCTACGGAGTAGAGAATGCCAGCCCTGCAATCCTGTAATCTTTCCCTCTAATTAATCTCAGTTCTACCACTCCTGAGAGGAAAATGGGAACAAGTTAAAGTATAGCTACAGACACCCACAAGTACATACAGACACTTGCATCCGTGTATAACCGGCCACTCACACCCTGCCTGTGTACCTGAGAGTGACTCTGAGGCCAAGACCTTCCTGCCGTGCTCATCTGTGTTGTGCCTTAAATGCCACACCCCCTGCAACACCAACGAACAGAGTCCCGGGCCTGACCCCAGCCCAAGGTAGGGTTTAATCAGGGCTGCCTCTCCTCCCCCAGGGCTCAAATATTAAACTGCATGAGGCTGAAGGAGAGGAAGGGACATGGGTAGAAAGATCAGTGTCCAGAGCTGGGACTTTGCCTCTGGGTGGGGGAAGAGGAAGTGTTCAAAGGCTTGAACAGAGAATGTTTTACCAGGGTCAATTCTCTCATGGCAGATCAAGAAACAACTCGCTTTGGACTGTTAGGAACAGGGGAATTGGAGGGAACACGTGGAACACAGGACACAAACCGGAGCTCCTGGAAGCTGGCAGGGGGTATGACAATGCATCATTTTATTTGAGGAGCCTGAGGCCCAGTGGAGAAAAGTGACTCTCAAAAGTCACTCAGAAAAGCAGTAGCAAGAGTGAGATTAGGACCAAGGTCTGTCAGTTCTCTTTCTCCTACTTCCTGCACATGGCATTCTTTATCTTTTCCAAAGTGGTGTTCCCTCCACAAGACAGCTAGTTGGAGTGTGCTTCCCGTATACTAGGTGAAGGTTTTCTTTCTGGTTCATTCAGCAATGCTTTAGCCTTGGGATAGTGACCATGAACCACAAATGATAATCATTAGCATAATAAAAGCAGCTAACACTTACTGAGCCCTTACATTTTGTCTCCTCTGATCCTTATGACAACCCTATCATTCAAGTACAATATGACTACTATCCCCATTCTCCAGATGAGGAAACTGAGGCTCAGAGAGGTTAACTAATTTACCCAAGGTTGCACATTCAGGAAGCATCCATTTAAACCACTTCCTGTGCTCTTTACCACTGGGTTTCACTGCTGACTCCCAAGTATATTGGTAAACAAATAAATTTGACAATTTCAGATATAGCTAAGTACTATGAAAAAATAAAGCTTGATGAGAGGGTGATCTCTGGGGTAGCTCTCTCTTGCCCTCTAGGTAGGTGGACAGGAAAAGTCCATGTCAAGAGGTAACAACATTTGCACAGAATCCAGATGGGCAAGGAGCCTGCTGTGCCATGATCTAAAAGAAAGGCATTTTTAGACAAAAAGAAAAGTTTGGCTTTTTTTCCCCCATGGATAATAGAAAGCCACTGTGGGGTTTAAGAAGAGAAGTGACCTATTTTGCCATGTGGGCAATGGATTGTAGGGGGTCCCAGGGAAGAAGCAGAAGAAACGATTTGGAATTTTCAGGGAATTTGATGAGGAGGAGGAAGGGGGGTCAGGACCCAGAAGAGTGCAAGGCAAGCTAGGACCAGCACTCTCATTTTGTTCCCACAGCCCTAAAGCCCCCCTCTCCAATAGGATAGATGGCCTTTGAAAATAAAAAAGGACCCCTAGCTTGGTGTGGTGGTTCATACCTATAATCCCAGCAGTTTGGGAAGCCAAGGCAGGGGAGGGGGATTGCTTGAGGCTGGGAGTTCTAGACCAGCCTGGGCAACATAGCAAGACTCCCATCTCTACCAAAAATTAAAAAAGTATCCGGTGTAGTGGCACACTTATAGTCCTAGCTACTGGGGAAGCTGAGGTGGGAGGATCGCTTGAACCCAGAAGGCTGCAGTGAGCTATGATTACACCACTGCACTCCAGCCTGGGTGACACAGTGAGACCCTGTCTCAAAAAAAGAAAAAAAAAGAAAAAGAAGGACCCCTGATCCCAACTGGGCCCACCCATAGCCCTACCAATCTGGCCTCAAGTCAAGCAGCGTTGGAGGAGGGGGCAGTATCTGGAGTGGGAGGAGGAGAGGGTAGCGAAGGTGGGACTTTTGCTCAAGACTGTCATCAAGAGGCAGCTTCTCTTCTGCCCCAGGGGTCACTCTGTCCCCCACTGTTCTTTTCCAGGACAGAGCTAAGTGAGTAAGAATCCCCCACCCCTGTCCCTCAATCTCTACCCCAGGAGACCCCACATGCTTTCCTCCCAGTTGGGAGGTCCCACCAGTCCTTCTCCAGGGCTCTGGGCTAGATCACTTAGGATGGGTGAGGAAGGAGGCTGACTAGGTGCACGGAGAAGCAAGGTCTGTATACCATTCGCTTGCACCCTGCCCCTTTCTCTCCCACAAGTCTTCCTGCCACTGCTCAGCCAAGCCCAGACAGGGCTCATGTGTGGGGAAGGACAGAGCGGTGGGATGTGCCAACAGCTCCCTTGGCTGCTGGTGAACTCACCTTCCTTTTCCCCCCTCCCACTCCTACGACACTGACAGAGCCAAAGAAAAATGGGAGCAATATTTCTTTCCATAAGCCCACAGCCTCAAGCCCAGATTGGTCCTGGGTCTGTAGCTACTTGCAAGGCTATTTAACCAGTGACCTTCAGGGGCCCAGCTTAGCCCTACCCCACATTATGTCCTCTCACTGAAACCCAAGGTCCCTAGGGAGGAGGAGCCCATCTCTAAGGACTTGCAGGCGCTGATCCTGGATCTTAGGCAGTGAGGTCCTAACACCTTGAAGCCCATTAAACCTCAGAGCTTCCTGGGACACAGATCCTGCACCAATGCTGTTTGGCCGCAGATCGGTTCCTGGCACATAATGGGCTCATGATAAATTATTGGCGATTGAAAGCTCCAGACCTGAGCCAGGAGTGGTGGCTCATGCCTGTAATCCCAGCACTTTGGGAAGCCGAGACGGGAGGATCTCTTGAGCTCAGGAGTTGGAGGCTGCAATGAGCTATGATGGCATCACTGCATTCATTCCAGGCTGTGCAATAGATCGTGACCCTGTCTCTTAAAAAAAAAAGAAAGAAAAGGAACAAAAGCTCCAGACACGAGCCACTGTACAGCACTTTGTTTTGAGGCCCTGCCTGAAAACCTGAAAACAGGGCTTGACTTTCAGCTACTCTCGGGACTGATGCCCAGCAAAGCCACTTCACTCATGTGCTGAACACCTGCTCTGTAACATGTCCTGTGTGAACTAGACTCTTTAGCTGGAAGAATGAAAGCTGTGTGACGTTAAACATGACCTTTCTGTCCCCCAGTTTTCTCCTCTGAAAAATGGAAGTGATAATTCTTCAGAAAGCTGTTGTGAGAATTATTTAGAACAAGACTTATGAAAGTAGTCACAGTGGGTGCTTAATCATGGTGGCTGTAAGTATTGAGGTGTGGTAGACAGCTCACAGCCTCAGGGTAGCAAAGCTGCAGGGGGGACTCCAGGATGCAAAAGGGACCTATATCCCCAGGAACGGGGCCAAACTCTGCCACAGCTGCAGAGGTGTGTGTGTGTGTAGGGGGGTCACCATCTGCTGCTACTCACAAGTAACCTCTCCTTGGGCAAGACCCAGCACAGCTGTCTGCACCCTCTCCCCTCCTATCCTAGGGCCTCAGCTGCCGCCTAGGCTTGGGCTCTGCTGCCATCTCTTCCTCCTTCCCCATGCCACCCCCAAGCCCTGTGAAACCTCAAATCCCCAAATTTTGCTGAAATATCCCTGCTTTTCCTTGCAGAGCCACCTGTGTACCTTCTCATTGCCGGGCTAGAGAGCAGTACTTGCAGCTCCAGGGCACCCTCTGCTCCCCAACCTCCTTCCAAGTCGCCAGGGCCATTGTTCCCAGACCTCCAGCCCTGATCAGCTGCAGCCGCCACCCAGCCTCTTGGAGCCCATGTCCCGCTGGCTGGTGCCCCATCCTTGCACAAACCCTGCACAGACCCTGCTGGGCACCCTGGGAGGTGGTAGTTTCTCAATGGCTCTCGGCAAGGCTCGGGCAGCAGGGCCAAGTTCCCTCCCAGGGCAGCAGGGCCAAGTTCCCTCCCAGCACATGGATGTTTCTCTCGCAGCCCCAGCATGCATGTGCAGACGCTCGACCCTCCGTGGCCAAGCCCATTGCCAAAACCAAGAGAGGCAGGGCAGTGGGCTAGCTCTGGGAGCCGGCAGCATCCAGATGTAGGGCCTTGGACAAGTCCCAGAACCCATCCTAAGTTCCTTTTTTTGTAGGATTGCTAGGGAGAGTAGCTGTGTTGGTGCCAGGTACTGCTGTTGCTGTCCTTACTGTCACGCAGAGTTGCCAAAGGCAATACTGCTCCTAGAAGGATATGAGGCCCAGAATGGGAACCCAGTGGGCTCCTTTTCCCCCCAAACAGACCCCACCTCAGGTGCCTTTCCCTGGCTCACCCAATACCCCTTATTGCCTCGAAATGTCCACAAACACACTCTACAGCTACTCAGAAATATCTGATATTTATTTCCCAATATTTTGATAAATTTTTACAAATTTAATAAACAGAATAAAGGGGAGTATGTGGGACCCCAGGCCTGGCCTTGGGCTCCCAATGAAAGGTGACAGTATGAAAACATCTCCTCACTCACAACTTCTGGCCTGCTGCCCTGACCCCCTAGCAACCTTACCTAAGAGTAAGGTGGGGGCTTTCGGAGGATCTGGGATTCCCCCCTAGAGGGGACTTTGGGCATCCTGTTTCAGGCACTGAACTGGGTGAGATTTGGGGGCAGTGTGGGTCCGGATGTGGCACTGTCTGCGCCTCTCCTGCCTGCGGGACAGCTGTCGTAGCTGTTTCCGAATGGCCCACAGCACCAGGTACACTTCCCGCAGCAACTCAGCCTCTGGTGTCTGCAACGGGGACTGGGTCATCATTTGGGAGGTAATGGACGCAGAGCTCACAGATGACTATAAAAGAAAGAGAACACGTGCACGTGTAAATAGCTGGGTCTAGGTTGAAACTACTGGTAGAACGACTTGCAGGTAAACAGCAAAGGGCTCGTCTAATTCCACCTCCTCCTCCAGGCCAGTTCAGACACCACTTCCTCCAGGAAGACTTCTCAGGCTACACTGGATGTTTGTCATCTCAACTTCTGTGTTTGCCTTGTCCTACCACATTTCATACGCTATTTGTTCTGAGGACTCATCTATTTCCACTAGAATACAAGCCCCTGGGACCATGTGTGACCTGCCTTTGATCTACATTCATGGTTTCACGGAGAGTGTGTTAAAAGGAACGCAGACAGGCTGGGCGCAGTGGCTCACGCCTGTAATCCTAGCACTTTGGGAGGCCGAGGCGGGTGGATTGCTCGAGGTCAGGAGTTCGAAACCAGCCTGAGCAAGAGCGAGACCCAGTCTCTACTATAAATAGAAAGAAATTAATTGGGTAACTAATATATATATGGAAAAATTAGCCGGGCATGGTGCACATGCCTGTAGTCCCAGCTACTCAGGAGGCTGAGGCAGCAGGAATGCTGGAGCCCAGGAGTTTGAGGTTGCTGTGAGCTAAGCTGATGCCACGGCACTCACTCTAGCCTGGGCAACAAAGCGAGACTGTGTCTCAAAAAAAAAAAAAAAAAAGGAAGGCAGACAGAGGACAAGCCGATTCTGTCTCCAGCTCAAAGCTCTTTCCTGGCCTCCAGGCCTGTATATCCCACTGCTTCCAGGACACCTCCATGCAAGTGTCCTGTCAACATTACAACTCATCTCTGTAATCCTAGCACTCTGCGAGGCCGAGGCAGGCGGGTCATTTGAGCTCAGGAGTTCGAGACCAGCCTGAGCAAGAGCAAGACCCCATCTCTACTAAAAAGAAATAGAAAGAAATTAGCTGGAAAACTAAATATATATAGAAAAAATTAGCCAGGCATGGTGGCACACACCTGTAGTCCTAGCTACAGTCCCAGCTACTTGGGAGGCTGAGGCAGGAGGATCACTTGAGCCCAGGAGTTTGAGGTTGCTGTGAACTAGGCTGTCTAGCCCAGGCAACAGGGTGAGACTGTGTCTCAAAAAAAACCAGAAACCTCATCTTGCCCAATCCTCTAAACTTATCACCTCCACCCCTAAGACCTCCTTCATTCTTCATCCTAGTGAATGTCTCCAGCCTGACTGACTCTGTCTCTCCCTCTCCCCATTACCTCCATCCAATCTACCACCTGGTCCAACAATTCTACCTCCCAAATATGACTCAAATCCATCAGAGCCATCTTGTTCTACCTGACGACGCCTCTGTCCCATTGGTCATTGGCCAGCATTCTCCCCCGGTCCAGAAGAGCATTCTTTCTTAGCCTGGACTATATCAGCCTCCAGCACATCTTCCTGTCCCTCCCCTTGTCCCCTGAAAACTCCCATTCCCATTCCACAGGGCAGCCAGATAAACCTTTTCTTATGATTAATGCAGTAATACTTGATTCAAGAACAAAATAAGTTGATTTGGTAGTGACCTAGGTATGTCCCTTTTTTAAAATTAACCTTTTTGGTGATTCACGCCTATAATCCTAGCACTCTGGGAGGCAAAGGCAGGCAGATTGCCCAAGGTCAGGAGTTCAAAACCAGCCTGAGCAAGAGCAAGACCCCATCTCTACTATAAATAGAAAGAAATTAATTGGCCAACTAATATATATAGAAAAAATTAGCCAGGCATGGTGGCGCATGCCTGTAGTCCCAGCTACTTGGGAGGCTAAGGCAGTAGGATTGCTTGAGCCCAGGAGTTTGAGGTTGCTGTGAGCTAGGCTTATGCCACAGCACTCACTCTAGCCTTGGCAACAAAGTGAGACTCTGTCTCAAATAAAAAAATAAAAATAAATAAATAAATAAAATTAATCTTTTTATTTTGAGCTCATTGTAGATTGACATGCAGTTGTAAGAAATTATAGAGATCATGTGTATCCTTTATCCAATTTTCCCTCAATAGGAAAATTTTACAAAATTATATCATAGTCAGGACATTGACATTGATATTCATACGATCTACTAATCTTATTCAGATTTCCCTAGCTTTACTTGTCCTGATTGGGGTGTGTGTGGGTGTGTGCATTTAACAAAATTTTATCATATATACAGGTTTGTGTATCCAACTACCAGAGTCCAGATGCAGAACATTTCCAGCATCACAAGGATCTCTCCCGCTGGCCTTCTATAACCACACATTCCTCCCGCAGCCCCTGGCAACCCTAAACCATCAATATATTCTACATTTCTACAATTTTGTTATTTCAAGAATGGTATATAATTTAAATAGATGCATAGAGTATATCACCTTTTGAGATTGGTTTTCACTAGGTACAATTCCCTTGAGATTCACCCAAGTTGTTGCATATATCAATAGTTTGTCCCTTTTTATGGCTGAGTCGTACTCCCGGGTATGGATCCATCACAGTTTAACCATTGGCTCACTGAAAGACCTTTGGGTTGATTTTGGCTATTACAAATAAAGCTGCTATGAACATTCACATATAAAAGTTCATTTATCTGAGATGCCCAAGAGTATAACTGGTGGGTCATATGATAATTGCATAATCAGTTTTATAAGAAACTACCATATTCTTTGCCAGAATGGCTGCACCATTTTACAATCCAGCAATGTATAAGTCCAGATGAGACTTCTAAATAAAAATCTGCTCATACCAGTCCTCTGCTCACATGTCTGTAAGGACTCCCACTGCTCTTGAGGTCAAAGCCAAATTCCACAACTTAAATATCCACCCTGCCTTGTATGAGCTGGCCCTTGGCTCCAGGATCTCCCCTCTGACCCACATGACTTGGGCCAGCTCTGCAAACACCTGCTACTCTCTTCATAGAACACTCCCTCCACCCTCTCCTAACAATCCCCTCGAGCCAAGCTAACTCCTTCAGGTCTCAGCTTCACCCTCTCTTCTGTTAGGAAGGCTTTGTCTGACTCCCAAGGTCTAGATGAGATACCCTCCTTTGGGTTCCCACAGCCTCCTCGACCTCCCATGTCACACCCAACAATGTGTGTGGATAATGAGCCAACAATGTCTTTCATCTTGTCTGTAGCCCCCAAGTCTGGAAATCTTGTTCCAATTATATCCTCAGTTCCTGGCTCAGCACCTGTAACTCAGCAGCATGGGAGATGAGTGCTGAACAAGTGAATGGAGAGAGGAATGAGTCACTGGGGATTGGGGAGGGGTCTTGGGAACCAGGGGGATAGTGCTGACCTTCCAGCTGCACATTTGCCAGCCGGTCTGTAGGGCGGAGACCATGAGCGTGGAAACGGACTGAACAGCCGTCCGGGGCAGCCGCAGCAGGGATCGGCCCTCACCACCCAGCTCCATCTTGGTCCCGTCTCTTGCCTTGGCCAACACACAGGGCTCAGCTAGCCCAGGGGACGCATCCATCCTGGGGAGCTTATCCTCTCTGCAGGACTCGACAAACTTGAAAGTCTCAACTGCCTTGGGAGTCTTCTCCACCACCTTCAATGTATGTTTCTTGGAGCCACAGTATTCCAAGATGGGTTGCCTAACTTTTGGTTTCCAGAAGAAAACCTAAGAACCAAGACAGAGAAGAGAGAAGAGAGGGGCAGAACAGTCCACAGAGAGTGCAGCACAAAAGGGATGGGGCAGTGAGCATCAAGGCCTCCTTCCACTCAAGCCCCTCCCTGGCTGCCCCATCCCTAGCCTTGTTTGGTGGAAAGGGGCTGCTGCAACCTACAGGTCAATGAACAGCACTGTCATCCCAGGGACAAGGCAGTCTCTGCAACTCACCCAGCAAGTAATCTTTTGCCAAGCCCGCCTAACCCATCGGAAGAATCTCATGACAGCAGCCATCTCTCCTGATAGGATGAACCCAAAGTAGGGGGCAGAACCAGCATTTGGTACAGTGGGGGTGGAGGGTGGGGATTGGGGAGGACAGGCAGCAGGCAGTGGCTGCCACCCAAGGGGTATCCTGGGAGCTGAGGGGCTTCACACACAGCAGTGAAGAAAGGACTAAGAAACCCAGGGGGAAAACCCACTCCAGCAACTCATCCCAGGCCTTTCCTCCCCTCCCTGGGACAGGGAGAGGAGTCAAAGTGGATGAGAACCTACAGTGAGGGAGAGTTCTAGCCCATTGTGAGAGCCTGCCTGGCCCAACCCCACCCCCCAGGCCCTCCCAGGACCCAGGGAGCCAATCCCTTCTGCCCCTGGCCCTTCTTCCCTCAGATCCATGGAAAGGAAACTGACATGTATCGAGTGCCTGGTGTGCGCCAGGCATTTCCCATGTATCATTGTCATGTCATCTTCACAACGGCCCTTCAAGGTAGGTATTATTGTCAGGGTCACTTTACGAATGAGGAATCTGAGATTCAGAAAAACTGAAGCGCTTGCCCAAGGTCATAAATCTAGGGAGCTTAAGGTAGGGAGTCCAACCCAGGTCAGCCTCCAACGGACCCCTTCCACTCCTCCCAAGGTCCTCCAGAGGCTGCCTCAGCCACTTTCCCTTCTTCCCCACTAGGTGGGGTCCTTCTCCCTGGCTGACTCTTCCACCTGGGACTGGGCCCAGGCTGCCAGGAGGGGCCGGCTCACCCACAGAGCCCATCCTCAGCCAGCTGGGGGTGGAAGCCACGGCAGCCAGCCAGGCCTGGCGAGGGCACTGTGTGCCCGGGGAGCCTGGCCCACGCCCAACCCTGAAACAAGGGGCCCATTCAGGGCCCCCTGCCCCGCCCCCAAGCAACCACCCGGATCCAGCCCGCAGAGGGGACACACTGGGAAGCTGGGGGTGGATCCTGCACAACCACCAAAGGCCTCATTGTTCCCCTCTCCCCCCAGCACGTGGGCAGACGCCCCCCCACCCCACCCCTCTCCCTGCCCCTTCCCAGGACCCGAAGTGCTGGTTCCTTTGCCTGCCTCTCTCAACCCCACTGTCTCCGCCACGTTAAACCTCCCATCTGGACAAGATCTCCAGGCAGCTCAAACTGTAGCATGGGCCCCCAGTCTAAACATAAGCGAGTTGTCAGCCTCCAAATTCAAGTTTCTTCAGAATTTTTAATTATTATTATTACTTTAATAACAACCTGAATCCCAGAACTTCCAGATACTGTCCATACTCCCTCCCCTGGGCAGAGGAGAGGGGGTACTTTGAGGGAACAAGGTGGGGGTAAGGTGTCTGCCAGGGAGCCTCCAACTCCCCCAAGCCATCTACTGCTGGGGGTCTAGCGACGGAGGAGCGGGGCTGGGATCCCTCATGGAGGGGGCTCCATCTAATACCCCATCCTGAAGCCCACCCTCCTCCATCAGGGCCTGGGACGATGGGGAGATTGGGGTATGGTGGTGGGACAGGCTGGTACTGAGCCTTGAACTCCCACTCCGTGGACCAGGGGGCATTAAAGCTGCATAGGAAGAGGGGGCAGGCAGCTGGCACAAGGCCTGGCAGCCCCGAAGGCACATTGTGAGGGAAGGGAGGCTCAGATGGAGGGCCCATTGGGTGCGGGGGGCCCAAGCCGTGGGACCCCCGAGGAGGGCAGCTGGGCCAGCTGCTCCGGGCTGGCCAGGGCACGTAGCAATCCATTCTCCTGCTCCAGCGCAGCATTCCGCTCCGCCAGGTCCCGGATCTGCTCCTTCAGCACCTCCACCTCTTCCCGGACCGCAAACATGAGGTGGGACTTCACCAAGTCCTGGGGGCCCAGGGGACAGACAGGCTGAGCATCAGAGGTGCCAGGCCACCCTAACCACCTTCCCTGCCCAGTGCCCCAAGGACCTGGGTGTGGGAGCTTTCCCTGCACTCAAATGATGACGGACAAAGCAGGGACAGGGCAAGGGACAAGAACTGGGGACAGAGACAGAATCCGGGCTCACAAACAGAGACTGGGGCCAGCAGCCAGATTAAAGCCAAGCAAAGTCAAGGGCTGAGGTAGAGACAGCAGGGGGCAGGGATCCCAAGGGAGCCCAGCAGGGAGCAGGTCACAGAGCGGGGAGTTAGTGTTCGCTGGTAATGAGAGCAAGGCTGGGGCAGAGCTCAGGGGACCAGGGCCTGCCGTGACCAAGATGGCTTCTCTTACCATGGCTTGTTCGATCTTGTTGTCAATGCCAACCAGGCTTCCGGAGCCACTGGAGAAACACAGGGAGGTGAGAGGTGAGGAGGAGGAGCCGTCCCAGGTGCTGCCTTCTTAGAGCAGGCTCTGGCCTCCTCCACGAGCCCCACTCACCACAGCTTCCCACCCACACCCCCGTACCTGTGACAGTAGAGAATCAGGGAGAGGAGGGTTTTGTCCATCCCCCGGCGGGCTGAGGGCCGCTGTCCTGGGCCCCCCACACCCCGATGGGGTGGGGGTCCAGATGTCCCTCGGATGGGGGATGCTCCCCGAGGGGAACAAGGGGAAGAGACACAGCCCCTTTTTCGGGGTGGCCCTGGAGCCATCCCCACCACTCGAGTCTCATAAGATGACACCAGGGACTTGACAGAGACCCCTGGCTGGGCCATCCCTGAGGGGAAAGGGTCCCCGGGCCCCCCCGGGGGAGAGGGCTATGACAAAGGGAGTGCCTGGGGGGCTCAGAGCCCCCCGGGCAGAGTAGGGTCTGGCTGGTGCCAAGCAGGCAGAGAGGAGACAGCGCCTAGGGGGTGCTGGCCTGAGAGATATACACCGCCCCCCCAGGGCAAGGCCTGGCTGCTATTGGTTCCTCAGGGACACGGGGACCCCCTCCTGCTGGCTCCTCGGTGGGCGGGAATTCCCAGACACGGTCAGTGCCAGTGTCCCCTTCTCACCCTGGCACCAATCCCAGAGTAGAGAGGAGGGGGCCAGTGGAGGGAAGTCAGCTGGCGGCTGGGTCGGGGGAGGGGCCGCAGGGAAAGAAGCCTGGGTCTGAGAGGGGTGTGGAAGGTGGGGAAGATCCTGGCCTCACCCTGCCCCTCCAGATGGGCATGGTCCCTCAAGGCCTCAGGAAAGAGATGGGTGGGATGGGGAGAGAGTCCCATGTGCTGTGGTCTACAGTGGACTGAGCACCTCCCCAAACACAAAGCCCACATCATGGGTGAGCTCTGGGACCTGGGCCAGAGGGTCCCTGACCTCCAACAGTGAAGGAAAAGGAGAAAGGGGAAAAATTACCATGGCAACAGAAACTGAGCCCAGAGTTCTGTAGAACAAACACAGCCTGTGGTCTGGGACCTGGGTCTGAAGTCTTGGAGGTCTGGGGTCAAGGAGTGAGTTGAGGACTTGAGGGGAGGTGGGAAGGTGAGGTTGGAGGTGGGACACTGGGCATAGGAGCAGGGGCTTTGAATGAACACAGCTGGGAAGGGGGATGACAGGCATCAGGGAGCACGTCTGGCTGCAATTTGTAAAGTGGCCACCAGAGGGCGACCTAGGCCTGGCTCAATGACAGCCAGGGTCCTCCCTGTCCCCATAACACTAGGCTGTGTGTGGGTCCTCCTAGACCTGGCTCTCCCTCAAGCCCCTCTCTAGTTGCTTACAGCCCTTGTGCCCTGTCCCAACCTCCAGGGCTCCCTCCCACCGCTGAGGCCCCAGGCCCCTGCCTCAACCTGTGGCCCAAAACCTGCCCCATTCAGCCTCTGCCTCAGCCCCTGGGCCAGCCCTCCACACTTGCCCACTGTGCTGCAGGATCACCAGTCCTGTCCCCCAGCCCCCAGCTGAGCCCCTCTCAGAACAGGGACCTCAACATGCTGCATCCTACAGCCTGTTCCCCCTTGGAAGCCCTCCCTCCTGGCTGTCAACTCCAACTTGCTTCCCTGCAGGGGTGGGGGAGATCAGTGCATCCAATTCAAGGTGACCCATGGATGAGGCCCTGAGGCCCGGCAGCCAGGAAGGGAGCTGGGAATTTTCCATTTCCCATCCAAGCTCTGGGTGCAGAAGGTGCTGACAGGTGGGGCAACCAAGGGGGTGACCAGGTCTGAGAAAGCAGGATGGGATGGGGGTGGGAGGAGAGAGTAAGTTTAAGAGTGAGAGAGCAGGCCAGCCAGCCGGGAGAGTGAAAGCAGTTTTCAACCTATTTCAATCAGTGCAACACCTCGGCAGAGACTGGGCCACTGCAAAACAAATCCACCTCACCCCTGCCCCCTCCCCAGCACACACACACAGAGACCAAAGGGGGCAGACGCACAGGAATAGGAACATTGGCCTTGCTTGGCAGACACTTGGGTGAAGATGCCAAGTAAATTGTTCATTCTTGCCAGAAATAAAGGAATAATACAACAATAAACATTTGTTGGCTGACAGATGACTATCTCCTGTTTGTCTAGTGTTGGAGAGTTTTTGACAGCACTTTCCACTGTGACATTCCAACATAACCTTCAAGGGACCACGTCTCTGGCAACCCAAGCCCTCCCTTTGAGAAGCCCTGACTGAGGGGCCACAGGCACTGTGCTAGAATTCTTTGGCAGGGACAGGATCAGCCCTCACTACAAGCCCAAAAGCAACTTTGTGTTAATTAGAACAAAATGCCCCTTCAAGACACTGATAACCAACTTCAGTCACTGTTATGACTTCAAGCATTGACTGTGATCTCAAATGTGAGTGGCACCCCCTGGAGTTGTGCAGTGTGACATGCACAACCAGGCACTCTAGCCCTCAGGACTCTTGGGTCCTGGGTTGGGGACAGCCCTATAAAGTCTGGTCTTCCTCTTTGAAGGTCAAATAAAATAGCTTCAACACAAGGATCAGATGAAACAGCAGGATACCTGGGAGAGGTGAGGAGGTTCAGATCCTGGGTACAGGGGCCAGTCCCGCTCCTTCAAGGAGCCCCTAGGGGCTGGGCCTGAGGCCAACAAAGTGGCATCTGGCTGCCCTGTCTACACTCCCTCCCGGATCTGGATCTGTGGTGCCTTCAGGGCAGGGCCAGGCCAGGGAGGGGGAAGGAGGTGCTGGCTCCTTGCCTGCTTGAGAGAGCTGTCCCTGACTCTGTCCTAGAGAGAAAGGGCATCCTACAGACCATTGCCACCTCCTCTTCTCTTGGGACACACATAACAGGAGAGCGGAGACAGCATGGCTTTAGGGTCAGACCCAGGTACAGACTGCAGTCCAGCCACTTACAAGCTGGGTGACCTTGGGCAAGTTCCTAAAACCCTCCTCCTGAGT